TTTCCCCCGGTTGTTAGGACAGCTGTACCTGTGGATGGGAGGTTTGAGCACATAGTTCTTTCCTGCAATGCAACTTCAGACCATGCAATTATTTGGATAGAGAGAGAATCAAAACGAGCTCTTGATGTACGTATGCTGCCTTTTAATTTGTTTAACATTAGAACCTTCTTGTGCCCCTGCAATGCTACTTCTTTGTTGTTTTGTCATTACAGGAAGTGAATTTGTTATTTTTCTTTGGCTTGTTTAAATTAAAATCTAAATGATCTTTTCCTCACGGCAATGTCAAATAATAAAGTCTCTTTTGGAAAATAATCTGATTGCTATATATCTAACTAAAATTTGTGATGAATGGAAGTCCAACTTCAGTTTTTGATCCAATTGGATCATGGTATCTATGATTTCAGTTGATGTTGGAGAAAGATCAGATCATGCAGATTCCAGCGAGGCAGAAAATGGAGCGACAGAGATCCCTTGTGCGTGAACACAGTGAAGAGCACAAGGCTGCTCTAGAGAGGGCTGTTGCTCTGAATATACCTCTAGCTTATTCACCTCCTGCATATGGAACATTTGATGAAATGGAAGGAGAAAGTTCTACCAGATCAAGCGGTGAAGCCTCTATATTGTCCTTCAAGAAAATAAGGGAAAGTTGGGATGGATTTGTAGAGCGACTTTTTTATGTGGACGAGTCTGGTCATATGGTATTTAAGAAATGAGTCAAATAGATATTTTTAGGAAAAAAAATTAATTCTTTCATTTATGCCATGTTTTACACAAGGAGATCCATAATTCAAGGATGATGTCTGATAGGAGACTTGGGGGGTTTTGGCTGTGTATATTATAATTATAGTTGATTGATCCTCCATCAATTTCTAGGTTGTCTTACGAAGCAGCTTTTGGTGTTTGGCTGCTGTTCCCCGTCTATATATAATATGGGCGCATAAGTCACAAAATGTTTCTATATTCTTTTTACAATAAAAGTAGAAATAAATATTGTATGAATTATAATGATATATTATATAGATGGGGCCAAAAAATTATATATTATAATATAATAGAGAAATTATTTTGTATAATAAGTGTATACTAATATGTTAAAATAATTATAAATTTTATCAACCATTCCATTTTTCCTCCAACAAGAACGAAAACAAATATTCTATTATATCGATATCACTAATGAATTAAATTTATAAATTAGGCTGAAACTTATTCTGAGTTAATTATATTGAGCAAATGAAGTTCACATTATACGGTCCAAAACGAATACTCCAACTAGAGCATTGCACAACTAATCATAGCACAACCTTAGCAACTTGAAAAATTCTAATAGTTCACTAAGAGTGGAGTACAGGCGAGAAAGAGAATTTTTCTCTGCTCTCATTAGTGAAATTGAATCTATAAATATACACTAGGCAACCTAAATTAACTAGGAGCATGTCAAGAACCTCAGTTCATAGAAACTGATTTCTTTGCATTTTTGATGTCATTTACAGAGGAGTTCCTTGCAACTATTTAACAATGCTATTTGCCTAACTCATTAACAGAATGACCCCAACGCTTCATAAGGGGTAAGACAAATGGTACACAATCTGGGAGAAACCTTATTCCTCCCTGCTATACCTGTAAATTAAGAATCGCTTCCCCTGCAACAACAATTAGACAAGTTAATCACAGTTTGAACCCACCAGAGAATTTAAATTGATTTCTTATACACGTAATCACTATAAGCTGATGATTTCAATACCTCCATAAATGTCAGTCAACAGCATAAAAGCTATCTATAATTCTAGCAACAGAAAATATGCAATAAGGACTGCTCTATTTTTTTCTTTTTACTTAACATAGTCAGTAAATTACTAAGAAATGGTTATATCCTCCACAGGAACTGTGGAAAAATTTTTAAGTGGTCTCGTGATCTGTATAAATAAAACTATCAATAAAATGTGCATTTGAGCACTGCTTCAAAATATTTTTTTCTTTTGAAATAAAAATAGTATGGTATAATTCATTCATGAGCATCAAGGGGATAAAAACTCATATATAATGTTATTTACATATCAACCAAAATGTCAATAAAGTTCCTCAAGTCTTCAAGTGAATAGAGAGAGTGACTCAATAAAAAAATATAAAGTTTGAAACTATTTACCTTTTAGCCTATCGAAATCACCTTCCACGCTCTCAAAAGCTCTTTTGTTTCTCTCTCTCCGCATCACCCAAAAAGCAGCAATGGCATACTACTTATTCCTTTCCACGCCTAAATTATTTTCCGCACCGAACCAATAATTAACTAATTAATACCCAAGAGGCCATAAGCATGGGTCCATATACACAAAAGGACACCATAGAAAGATATAATTGCACGACTGTGCCCTCTTTTTAGATAAGAAACAACCATTCATAAAAATTTTGCCCTTTCTAATCAGCTTGTTTAGAGTTAAAAGGCAACTTCTACCAGTCTCCAAAGCAGAAAAAGCAATTCTAGATAGAGCATTAACCTTCTAGATTTGCTGGAATGGAAAATCAAGACTCGTGGCTTTTCTTCTAGCCAAGTGATTGTCGAAAGATCTGACCAAGAAAGCCCCTCCAACATTGAGCCTCCACACTAGTTGGGCTCTAGTCCCATTAACCCTAGCAAGGGCTAAAAGTAAGTCTCATACTATCTAACTTCCCAATCATTAAGATTTTTCGTGACCTTCATAGTCCACTCTCCCTCCCTGTAACACCATGGTAGGGCTTCCTTAATCGAGACACTCTTGTGCCCAATAATAGCATAGATTTGGGAGAACTATTCTTTGATTGTGCCACCCTCCAATCAGGCGTCATACCATAAGCTGATCATGTTTCAGGGCCAACCTTCCAGCTGATACAGTCCTGGATATTACTCTTACCTACACAGATTTTTTTTTTTTTTTTGCATACCATTCTATGAGGTCTAGACAAGAGCCTAGGGCACTAACCTACAGCCCCACAAACTTCGGCGTGATCATCCTCCACCAAAATACCATTTTCATTCATAAATCTCCAAAGCTATTTCCCTTAAAAAGCCATATTAACCTCCAACAAAGATTTCAAACTCAATCCACCTTGGCACATGGGCTTTTTGACCTCATCTGAAGTCACAAGGTGATACTTTCTCCTTTCATCTGTGTCTCCCCATAGAAAATTACATTAAATTAATTCCCATCTCTTTGCTATACTTGTGGGGACTATCAATAAAGACATAGTAAATGAGAATATTAGCCATAGTGCTCTTGATAATTATGAGTCTCCTCTTGTTAGGTAAGAGATCTCTCTTCCATCCAGGCAACTATTGTTCAAACGTCGCCACCACAGAATTTCAAGTCGCAACATCTTTATTTTTTAGCACCTAATGGGCGCCCCAGATATTTGATCGGTAAGTCAACATTCCTACATCCCAAAATCCTAGCCAACCTGCTAGCATCCCTTCCATCATCCAATTTCATTAATTAAAACTTGGTACGGTTAATGTTGAGACCAGACTGCTTGGAAATTCAGCAAATGAATCTGAAGTTAAATAGAACCCTCTTATTTGGTTAACAGAACACCAAAGTATCATAAGTAAAAAATAAATGTGCTACCTCTACCATATGCTCATCATCACCCACCTTTAATCCTTTAAACATCTCAACATCTCTAGCCCTCAAAAGCATCTATTAAGTGTTTTCATTACAATGATAAATGGTAAAAGGACAGGGGATCACCTTATCTAAGAGTTTTGGAAGCTCTGAAAAAAGAAGATGGACCCTCACTGACCATAACAACAGAAGAAGTTGTAGAGATGCATGAGCTGATCCATTTGTGCCATTCGTCCATAAAACTGAGCTGCTTCAATATGTAAGTGAGAAAACCTCAATTAACATGATCAGAGGCTTTCTCCATATTGCATTGAACACCCTTCATATCTTGTGAAGCAATTCATTTACAATTTCATTTGTAAAGTTGCATTCGGAATCTGTCTGCCTTGCATAAAGTATGTTAACACTCACCCACCATCCTCCCCATCACTGTAGCCATTCTCCTTACCATTATTTTGGCAATGTGAGTTTATACACACTTTCTACTGAGTTAATAGGTTTGGAATCCTTGATATTTGTTGCTCTCTTCACCTTAGTATTATGCACTAGAAAAGTAGAGTTTTAACATTTAATGAAGGACTCAGACTCAAGAAACTCATTAAATAGTGTCAACAACGTCATCTTTAATCACATGCCAAAATTTCTTAAGAAAACCCATGTTAAAATCATCAAGCCTAGGAGTATTATCCTTTTTGCATTACATGAGGCCCTCTAAAATCTCCTCCTCAGAGAATCTCTTTTTGAGATTCACGACTTTGATCATCCAGGAACATAAAATTCAGGCATCCAATTGAAATCCTCATAGTATAACCAGTTGAAGAAATCCTTGACTCCTCTCAACTCCTCACACCTTAGTATGTGCTGTGTGCGTGCATCCCCTTCTCTCAAGAACATTTTGATGTTT